ACCTATGTCGTATTTAAACTAGCTTTTATCCTTAAAAAGTCGTTACGTTTCGAAAGTGAATTATTGTCAATTTATTATCGGTTGCCAGGCTTATGCATGTTTGCGATGGCTTAGGGGTTCATTTGCAATTTGGTCCTGTACCGGTTGTAAGTGTGCTCCTATGCTGATAGTGTACATGCTTTTTTTCTTTTTTCTTTTTTTTTTTCTTCTTATTTGTTTTGTTTGCTTATACTCAATTTTATTGTTAATTAATATAAGTTTTGCATTAAGAGCCAATTCAACTCGGCTGTTATTTGTTTGGTTGAGTTTCTAGTATAAGTGGAATAAATAAAATAAATAAAATAAGTAAAATAAATAAAATAAATAATAAGAATAACGTTATGAATAAAAATTAAATTTTTTAATATTTGAGTAATTTGGTAAATTAACGGCAAAAATGTTTAAGGAAATTAAAAAATTTAAGTAAAACTATTTCACGTACAATGGGAAACAAAACAAACAAGATGATATTTGTGAAAGGTAAGGTAAAATATTGTTAAGTGATAACAAATAATGAAGTGACATTGATCAATACGTAAATTTTAGACAAAATGCTTCCTGGGCTGACGAAATGTTCTTCAATGGAAAAGCAAATCCAATAATGTAGCTTTGTACGGAGCTTGGTACTTCATTTGTGTTTCGCAGCTACCGAAGATTCACTGTAATCTTTTGATTATCTGTAAATTGCTACCGTTTCTCATAAGTTCTCATAAGTTTACGTATATGTAAGCTGGTGCGACCGTTTGTACATGTTATCTGGATGTTTAGTAAATACTTCTTCCCCATCTGTTCCTGCTGACTGAAGTATTTAACTGCTTTAATAGAACACAGAGTAATTACAAAGACAAAATCAGTGCAGTTAGACTTGGCGTCTAAATGAGCGAATTTAAATCGTTTTCAGCTATCAAAATGAAGGGGAAAATTAATCTTTTCTCTCATATAAAATCGTATTATTTATATTTTGGAAACAAGCGAGGTTTCTAAAGTCGGAGCACACTCTCTCAGTTACACACATGACCAAGCCAACGGTAGTTAATGAATTAAAACAAGCGCTTTCACGCATAATTAATTCGTTGAATAACGAACGACTATTCCCTTCATTGAAGAAAAGAATCTGCCTTATGCACTGAATCTTATATAAAATGTATGAATAATGATTCATCTAATTCTAAACAACAAAAGAAGATTTCATTTCGCAAAAATGCTCTTTTAGCTTAGAGTGCAGTGTGTCGAAATACTGAATTATTTTTAAGTGGATAGACATTAGTTTTTGGGTTTTTTATTTATTATTATATTTCTTGCATAGTTTGTTTTATTGCGTTTGATCAGTATTATTGTATCAGCATTATTACTGTATTGTTTTATAATTTTATTGTTGTTACTACAGTACGTACTATATATAATTGATAAAAAAAAATATATATATATAATTTTCTCTCCACTTTTCTGTTTAAAATATTTTCGAAAATGCTTTTTTTTTTTATCACAATAAATAAGCATCAAGTATATATGGCATATGCAAATTACCTTCTAGAGGATGTAATTATAGAAACATAACTTAAAAGCAACGCAGTCTTGTAAGGAATTTGGTTTAAATTTATACATTTAGCGTCGGGATGGGCTTGACAGGTTATTTTCACTACTAGTTCTTTTCAATACTCGTTCAATGTATTATTTTTAATATTTTTATAAGAGCGGCGATGCTCTCGTAGTATCTTTCAGATCCCCCTGCTTCGGTCTTTGGCCCATATTCTGTTGGTTTGTTGAAAATAGTTATAATTTCATTTATTTATTTTATTTTGTGTTTGTTTATTTTGTACAGTTTGTCGTTTATGTATTTCTCTATGATATTGTCGTTTTTTACATAATGTTATAAATAACCAAACGTCAAGCTTGTCCCTGTTATCCCTTTATTCTTTGAAAATAAATACATAATGCAAAAAAAGATATTAAGTTCTTTCGTCGTCGGAGAGAAGAGAACTCAACAAAAGACACGTAATCAGTGCCCTTTTCAGAGACGCAGGTTGTACACATTTAGAGGCAAACATCATATTATTCAACATTAGTCCAAGATAATATTGCACCACTTCAGCGTTTTGCACACGAGTACTTAAGGGGTGTTTTTGTACAACATAGATAACTCATCTCAAGAAAACACTTTCCTCTAAATTTTAATAAAATTACTCTTTTGAAACTCTGTTTGAAATAGATCGCAATCCCGCCACCTCTCAAACGGCATCCTTCGTTTCAACATATTCAAATTTACCTCTTAATAGCTGTACACTTCTATTCGGCGTTATTAACCATCTACCTAAAAGATACGCACCATCACAAAAAAATATCCCAAAGACAAATAAAATTCTAAAAACCAAAATCGCACAAACGTATATAAGGTCAAATTACAAAAAAATTTTAATAAAAAGAGATGAAGTGAAATAATATGCATTTTTAACAAAAGCATTCAAACAAAAATTGGAAATAATGAGTTACATTGCTCTCCGAGTGCGCTCCACAAAATGCTTACACGTATTCTGAGGCATACGATTACCAAAAAATTTTAATCAGTTATAAGTAAAAAAACTAAGTTTACAAAAATTATTCTAACATTTTATTTGCATTTGTTTCATTATTCTTTTTTTCATTTTTGGGCGGATCAGGGATACAAAGAAAAAGAATGTTGAATGCCAACAGATTCTCGCTTTAAAAAACTCCGGAGGGTGGTAATAGAAATTTGTATACATTTGGTGCACTAGCTAAAACTTTTACAAACGACGCTTTGTTGTATAGTGCAGTATAATAATAATAATATAATAATAATGTACAATTTGTGGTTCATTGTATAATTATTCTTCATATATTTTTGGAAGCCTTCATATGACTCGTAGTTATTCTACATATGTAAAGCGAAAACTCGAAAATGAAACCTTTCTATTAGCACGCACAATTACTACAAAAGATAGGTAGTACTTTAAAAGTAGTTTACCCACACAGCCCTTTTCCACCTAAAATTACTAAATCCAAAATCAACGGTGACGCCAACAAAGAATCGTCACAATTATGACCAAAGTATTATGACCGCCCATCATAATTTCAGAAATATATTCATCCATGGCACGCTTGCTATCTCCGACATAGGGAACATATTTGATGACCACCACGTGACCGGGATGTTCATTAGCTTCGTATCAAATTTTATTGGATTCTACCATGTCGTCTACTACATTACTTTTCGAAATTTGAAAAAAATGTGTATATACACGTATACCAATTAATCGAACGTTTTCGATTTATCAAAGCAAGATTACCTCCTTTGAACGGAATTGGTGAGGAGCAGAAAGATTTTTGCCATCATTGTTTCCCAAATGATTGTAACTGACAATAGATACTGGTTTTATGCCTGCGCCAACTAGAAAGTCAACCAATACAGATTTAAGTTTTGTTTGGCCGGATTTAAAATCATCGCCCGCTATAAAGACATCCTTGTGTTCAGCTAGTTCTATAAGACCGGGAACAAAGGTATTCTGTGGTGATCCATTAATATATGTGCACTAAATAGTTGAGGAAAAAAGATGTATATATATATATGTATTGTATATATTTCATATATATATTGCATATATAAAGAGAACTTACGCCTTCGTTTATGCTGGCAATGGCAAAAACAGTGGATGGTGGTATTTCAGCTTTGTTAGCTTTCAAAAATGCTTCCAATTCATGCATGGTCGTATTTAAGCCGGGCTTAACATCGCAAACTCTTTCCGCGTTAGCAGTCCACAATACAACGATAATGTCCAAGTTGTTTTGCTGCTTGAAATCGCTTATTTCTTGACATATTTTCTCAAACTGTTCATACTTCGTACCTTTGATAATATTATCCACTCTTTCCGACTGATTGGCTGCGATAAAATCTGGATCATAAATAGACGGCCGCGGCTTTAAAGTATTCAATTGATTATAGAGTTGATCTTGCAATTCTTGTTGCGTATAAATTGAGAATAAATCGGGGCACAACTAAATAGTTGCGTATAAATTGAAAATGAACCGGGGCGCAACTAAATTGTTGCGTATAAATTGAGAATAAACCGGGGCGCAACTAAATTGTTGTGTTTATAAATTGAGAATAAACCGGGGCGCAACTAAATTGTTGTGATTAAATGCTTCTCACTTTATTTTCTCTTTTTACGGCGATTATTTTTTTAAGAAAAATGTTCAGCGACATATACGCAAGGACAAAATCAGCCGTGTGCAGAGTGACCATCTCAATTTGGTTCTTTGGTGTACACGGCGCAACTAAATTTATTTGAATTTATTGGAAGCTCCTTTTCGATTCTGCTGTTCCATCAAATGCTACAAAACAATGTTGCGATACATTTTGATTAAAATTACTCAATTATTTATTGACATTATTATTTAGCAACATTTTACGTAACTTTCATAACTTTATATTTTTTACCTTCCTTTTCAACTCTCTTTCACCAAGTTCCTCGCTCCTGTTCGGATACTGCCGCATTTACCTATGGCTTTTAGATCGCTATAAAATGTTGTGGTTCTGCGGTAAAAGTTTGCAGAGGCTAGTATTTAACTGCAATCTATCCCCTTAAGGGTATTATTTTATTATTTACACTTACACCCTTGTACTTACCTTAGCGTACCTTACACAAAACAATGTTTAAGATCAATGCGCATTCTGCGGTTACCTCTCTTTTAAACACCTTAACGCCTTAGCAAAATTTGTTTTCAGTGATGAAGATAATTGGAAAGGAAACGATTTCGCATTTATGCGAAGCTCTACTGTATACACACATGTATTTAAATTATTATGAAAATCTGAAAATTCTGAAATATCAGGACATTGCCAATCAATGTTAATTAAACCATACTTATATATGTATGCGGTGTGTATAAACTATAAAATGGAGGATAAAGGAAGTCATTGATTAAACTTTTTAAATTGTCTAAGTGGACCCTGCGGAGAATACATTTAGCGGTTTCGTCTAAGCGATGCTAAAAATATTTGAAATGTGTTACTTCATTTTAATTGAGTTTAT